AAAACATCAGAGCTTTCTGAAAAACTTTTAAGACCGTTTGGAAAACGAAGGGGCCTAGTATTAGAAACTAAATTAGAAGGGAGAATTGGTAGATAACACCATCCTCTTCCTTCTGCAAAGTCCTAAGCTTGGGACATATATCCACTGCTAGGTGAAAAGCTAGATCCATCTTATAATCTTTGGGAATCATTATTTTAACTTGATGGGGGGAAATAGCTGTTTGCAATAAACCATTTTTAAGTCAAGGAGGAAAAACAATACAAAATGATAAAATACTGCTTTAACTGATCTTTTTCAACATAGATCTTTATCCTTATTTCACTAAAGAATTTAAGGCTAACATCTTAAATTCAGTAGAAAACAGACTTTGTTTTACTGAAGAAAATTACTGAATTTTGTTTAATGGGACTAGAGATTAAGGACTGAATCTCATATTTTGTCTACCAAGGTCATGTAACCATGCAACCATATACACATGTATTTAGAAGAACTAATGCATTAAATAGACTTTGAAATAGGAATGTATTTTAAAGGCCTCAGCCTTCTATGTTTTCTTATCTTTTATACATATCTAGCACTTCCCATATAGTGATTGTGGTTACAGAGATCTAATTTAGCTGCTGTTAACCTCCCTGCCTTTAACTTTTTTTTTTTTTAATGAGCAGTTGGCATGTTGTAATTGCAAACTGCTGCTTTGCTTTCATTTTATTCCCAAAAATGGTTCTAAGTAAAAAAAAAAAAAAATTGATTACAGTATAGCCAACTGCTTTACTTTAACATAAATACAGCTGACTACAGGGGAAAAAAAAATCCTAGGTGATGATAGAGAATAGCTAGAACCTGGATCCTCAAGGACACCTCCCTTGGTGCCAACCAGATTCCATTTTTTTGGGTTCTTTCAATCAAAAGAAGGAAGCTGGTATTTTTATTTCCATGAATATTTCTAGGGTCTCAGACTGCAGAAGTGTTTAAGGAATAAAAATGATGGTAGTTACAATCCAGTGCTTTGCATGGTAGTGTGCTTGCCTAACAGAAAAGATGACTAAGGTCAGCTGAGATATAGTAATCATCTTGAAGAAGACTGGATGAAGATGATTTGCTACAATAATACTCTTACAATACTCTTCTTGTAGGTTTGGCACTAAATCCCATTATACTCAGTAGAACAAGTCCAGTGGAAATTGTATAGGCCTTGACAAGTTTATTTTTAAACCTAGCTACCCAACCAGCTATAATTTAAGATCCACTAACCACAGGAATGGCACTAGTGACTGGATGTGCTGCAAGCTGCTGTGTGATTGGCTTTTCCGTGATCTCTTCAAGATTATTTTTTTGGATAGAAGGAAGAAGCAAATGCAACAATTGAAATATTATAGGAAACTCGTACAATTTGACACACAGACTCTTCAAAACTTCAGTATTTTAAGTTTGTTTATTTAATTTTATGAGCTGCCTGACTCTGGGTGGCTTACAGCTAAAAAACAACATATAAAAGAATACAACTGATCAGAAGAGCAAAATACCAAAACAAAACCAAAGCAGATCAAAGCCAGAACAAAAAACATGAAGATGTCTACAAGTTCAGATAACACATGCCCATCACCCAAAGCTGGCACTGATCTATAGTTTTTAATGTTACAAGATAAAAAAAATAATACATGGAGTAATATTAACGATTTAATTTGAATTAAAGCAATTCTACTTTTTTTTCTGCCTGTGCCCATTGCTTATAGTTCAACCCTTGGCATGATAAAGGTTGCTGACTGAACATTTGTCAGGTATGATACTATAGCTCTCCAATATTAACTGCAGTTTGAAAGTAGATTTAGTTCCAGCTATGATAACAAACGTATTTGCAAGGATATGTGTTGTCCAACATTGCTATATAATGTGAAAAGCAAGTTTCAATTCCAAGAGTATGTTTATTAGAAAACTGTTTGAAATATTAAGAAAGCAGTTGCCTGAAGCAATTGCTTCTAAATTGGTTTTTATATGAATTATTTATACGATCTGAAAAGAAACCAGAGTACTGGTTTTCAGAGACTTTCGAAAGAATCAATAACTTTGAGATTCATAGTTCTGATTTCAGGAGAGAAATATGGGCTGTATTTTCAACAACATATTCTCAAAGTCATTTGAGAATTTGTATCTGAACCAGAGAAAAACATTCCTATGTGTATGCATCCATAGCTGAATAATAACCCTGTGTTTTTTTAGGTTTCCAGTCAATATATTCAATTCCTTCATTAGTATTAAATCAGAAGAACACAAAATGCCTGCTTTACATTACTGTCACAGATATATCTAGCCCCTAAAATAAAATGACAAAAGAATAAACCAAATTGGGTGACAAATTCATTATGATGTATTTTTAGTAAGCTGAGGCTTGAACAGAAAGAGTAGATGTAATTCTATATGCCCAAGCAATACTTAATTTAATGTAAATATTTTTAAACAAAAAAATTGAGCAAGAGCATATTCAAGTTTGTATTTCTCATTAAGAACTTAGTTCACATTTTGAAATGAAAAAAACCAGACTGATTGTTCATTAATCCCTTTAGTAATTTTAACAGATGTTCTATCCAATATGAACCCACATACACCAAATTATTGAGTAGTCACCAGATTTGTAAAATCTTCACTTTTAAAGTTCAGTTTTTTCTATGCAGTTTCAACCTGAGTACTTTATGTAAGGGTATTTTGCTATAAAATTAGCATTTTTTTCAAAATTGTTGTGGATCATATTCTGAAAACACATTTGATAATACTTAGAATTGTTTAACTCTACAATGTCATACCTTACTACAAATATTTGCAAAAAATCCCCATGGTGTTTTAAATCAATTTCCTAGTAGGTTTTAGCATAAACAGTAAAATGCTTGTAAATAATATAGAATACTTTATTTCAAAGCTGGAAGGAAGAACTTTGATGTTTGAAGATGTGTGGACATTGTGGTTAAGAACTAGAACAGTGGTTCTCAAAGTGTGGACCCAATGGGTCCACAAAGCCAAACATTTTAAATCTTCTCAGGTTTAATTTCTATTATAGTAAATATCAATAGAACTCACATAACCAAAGCTCTTTGGGGTCCTCAATCATTTTTAAGAATGTAAAAGGGTACTGAGGCCAAAATGCTTGAGAACCACTGAACTACAACATTGCCTATCATTGTTGAAAGAACTGAAGAAGAGAAATGGGCATGGGGATTCTTGTTTTCAGATTATCATTTGGTAGAAGTTATCACAGAGCTGTAATGTATTAAAACTAACTGTAGATTATGAATGAGGGTGGGTAGTTGGGTGTGTGTTTATTTGATTTGATTGTTGAGATGGCTGGATAGGTTGAAAATAGTTTTATCTGGTGGGTTTTTCACTTTATCTATAAAAGTGTTTACAGAGGAATGGTCATTTGACTGACAGCTCCTGTAGTATGGGGAAATTCAGTAGGCCTGATGCTCAATATCTGGCCCAGTCATCAACCAAGGGAAGGTGGGGAGGCTGATTAGTAAGCCTCTTATTTCTTCTCTTTTCTTGGTCAGTGCCTGCTGCTGATGACAAAGATCCACCTCCTAGGTTACTTGATCCAGGCCAGTGAGTTGAACTGGTTTGTGTGACTGAGATCTGATTGGGGGAATTGGATGAAGTCATCTGAGCTAGACTCTCCTACCAGGTTTCTGCATGAAAGAACAAAGTCATATAAAGATTTGGAGTGTGGTTATCAGAACTTGGAGGGTGAGACAGATTGGGGTACCTGCTGGTATACTATGAGCCCCATGTCCGAAACTATCTCTGCCTGAGCTGGTAAAATTGGTCTTGGAAGTGGTTTGGGGAGTTCCAAAACTTTTTATTTATACCGAGTCTGGTCTTTCGTGACTATTATTGGTCTGTCTCACAATATCTGCCTTTACTCATCAGGCAGGACATCCTATAGATCTGGGTGTTTTGTGGCAAAAATGATAAGTGGTTAGAGGGGCCAGAACTGAGTGTTTTGTCAATGACGGATGACTGCTCGGTCAGATTATAGTAGTTGGCTGGCCCTTGCCTGCAAAGGGGCTGAGCCAGATCAGATGATCCATCCTTAGCATTCTCTGTATCTGATAGAATTCTAGAACTCACTTGGAGGGAGGTTTACTGATGGCCCTAATCCTTCAATCCAAGTCTTGGTAACTGGAATGATTGCTGGCTAGGCTTTCAAGGTTTCCTTGGTTTATTGGAGATCTGCAGATGATGAAACATGCAGGGAGACAGTTTGTTGATGGCATAAGTCTAAAAGCAAATATGGCTGAGTACAGCTTAGAATTCATTGGAAAGCCGACTTTCTGGCAAGTGTTTTTCTTCACTTCTGCTTTATCTGATCATCATTCAAAGGACCCATTCTGAGTGGAGTAGGGGCTGACCCAATCTGATTAGGCTCTGGAAGGTCGCCTAGTACCTTTGACTCCGAAAGCTTTAGTATGTGGACAAGATGCTTGGATGAGTTTGGGCCCAGCTCCCTCTTGACTGATACTGGCCAGGAAGGATTGGTTGAAGGATGTGTTATGTTTGATCAACAATGTCTCCCTCAATAGGTGTGAAACATCATCTATTTTAAAGGAGGTGGGGAATATGTCTCCTCCTGAAAAAACAATGAATAGATGCCCCCCACCCCATTAAAACAGCTTTAGGCTAATAGTGAATTGTGAATTTAACATCCCTCATCAAAATAGTTGAAAGAATGGTGGCAAATCAACTCCAAGTGTTCCAGAATGAAACTGATTTTCTAAAGCTGTTCAATCTGATTTCAGACTAGATCATGGTATGGAGATGGCTTTGGTTGCCATTACTGAAGGAACAGGATAGTCTTTGCTTATAGTCCTTGATCTCAGATTTTGAACTAAAGCTAAAGAGCTGGCTGGGAGGGAGGACCACAACTCTGTTGTGGTTTTGGTTCTACCTTGAAAATAGGTTCCAAAAGGACAGGAGGATTACTTTTCCTTATTGCAGCTCAAGTTGTGCAATGCCACAGAATTCTGTCCTATCCCCTCCGATACTCAACATCTATATGTAATCACAGTAGGTGCTACATTTATATGGATGACACTCAGGACTATTCTTTTTCATCAATGTCAAACTCCTTGACTGATTCCTGCTTGGACCAGATTGCATATTGGTTGAGGTACAATAAGTTGAAACTGAATCCAGACAAGTGAACAGGATTGATGACTAGGGATGCCTCAATCAGCTGGAAGGGGATTTTCCTGTCCTGAATGGGGCTATTTTTCCCAAGAGGATTAGGTGCCTAGTTTGGGGGTACATTTTGATCCTGTGCTGTCCTTGATTGCTCAGGTCAGCACATTGGCAATTGGACATGCTTTATCAGTTGTACCTCTTCTTTGAGTCTTTCTATTTGAAGGAACAGCTTTCTCCGTATGTACCAGGAGTTGTATTCACCAGAAGACCTTCTGCATATGCCAGCCCCAAAACAGGCTTAGGTGCAGTCTACTGGGACCACAGTTTTTTTGGTAGTGGCTTCAATGCTATGGAATTCTCTCCATTAATAATTTGATTAGACTGTTCTGTGGTGTCTTAGGAAAATTTTTAAAACCTGCTTTTTATATTTCATGTGGTTTGTTTTAATCTGCTGTCCTGAACTTTTAATATTAATGACATGTTTCTGTGCTTTTTTCCTTCTGATTGTATGATGTTACTATGTTTATGACACTTGTTATAGTATATTTTCAGATCTACTATTAGTGTTACAGACCACTGTGGGCTGGCTTTGTTGGGAGCATGCAGTGTGCAAATACGTTAAATAAATAATTCAAACCTACAATATTTGCAAAAACCAAACCAAACCAAACCAAACCAAACCAAACCAAACCAAACCAAACCAAACCAAACCAAACCAAACCAAAGGATTTTAATTACATTGGTTGAAGTATGATTTAACAAAAAGTAGTAAAATATTTGTGATACAAAATATCTACTTTATTTCAAAACTCTCATTGTTCTAAAAGTATTCAAATGTAAAAGGATGCCATTTCCTCGAGAAGCTTGCAATCTTGAACAATTTGCCAAGGAAGAATCTTAGAAACAGTCTCAAACTAATTCAATGGTGGCTAAAGAGTATGTTCTTAGTATTTCTCTTCTATACAGCCAGAAGTATAAAGAATTTTGTAACTTCTTTCTTCCAGTATAAAAATATTCATTGTTGTCAAAATGGCAGAATGTATCGGAAATTAAAAACATACCCAAGTACTTGCTTAATGGTCATCTTAAGAAAGGCGATTCTGTTTCAGTTTCTCACAAACATGTTATTTAACTTGTAGGTTCTTTAACTGAAATATCTCCCTTTTTTACTACAATGTGTTGTTTGCTCAATGTTGAACTGCTGGTTAACATCAGTAACAGACACTGGTTCTAGGCCTGCCCATGGGTCTTCAAGCATTGAAGGTTTATAATAGTTCTCCACATCATCATTAGACACTGTTTTCTCTTTGCCATGTGGTGTACCAAATGGAGTCGATATCCTGGGTGATCCCTTTGAGAAAAGCCATGAGGCAAAAGAAGAGTAAAGAATCCAATTAAAAAGTACATTTTTACTTTCTGTATTCAGGATCAGCTATATTTAAGTTCTTCAGTACCTCCACCCACCCTAAAAGAATGTTATTGTTATGAGGATAAAATGATGGCAGATCCTTATGTAAGGTCCTTGAGCTCCTAGAGCAGTGTTTCTCAAAATGTGGCCTGAGGACCCCTGGGGGTCCCCCAAAATACTCCCAGGTGTCTGCGAAATCAAAATTATTTGCCAGCCTATATTGAAAAATAATATAGCATTAAATCCCATCAAACAATTGTGAGAAGTGGTAGTGGCAGCGAATGTGTCAATTTCAATTTTTAATATGGTAAATATTGACAAATATAACCCATACAAACAAAAGCTTTTTTGGGGTCCTCCATAATTTTTAAAAGTGGAAAGGGATCATGAGAGAAAAAAGTTTAAGAAACACTGTCCTAGAGGAAAGGTAAAATTCAAGTCTAAAAAACAGATTGCTCCAAGGGTACTTAACTTTGGGGGAAGGCACAAGGATCTGCAGAAAGAAGGCAGATGTGGAAATCACTGAGTTATGAAAATGCTAAAAACATCCTCATGGATCTTGATCACTTATGACAGACCTTAAGAAATATATTTGGTAATCCAGGCTTCTAAGAATCACCTACAGTCATCTTAAGTAAGAACTGTCTCCAGATAACCTAAAGTTCCTCCATCAAGATTAGATTCTATTTCTGAAATGCATAACATAAACAGCTCTGCATTTCAACTATACATTAAAAATGGCAACATTTGGTCATTGACCTTCTGCCCTTTCAAGATGAGGATTATGGTTGAACACTGTACAATAATTTTTATTCACTCCTCTTCTGATGACTGGCAAATGAAAACAACAACAGTTGCCAGGCACTGCGCACCATGGTATCCTTGCTTTCCTTTTTATCCCCCGAGCTTTTCTCCACGGAAGGGCTAACTTTCAGACAATAGTGCTGGCTTGAGCAACACAATACCTCAGAGAACATGTAGAAACTAGATATTAACTGGATGGCAATGGCACAATGGAAAAGGGGCTTAAGAATTCTCAGTGCATTTCTTTTCTTAAACGCTAACTAACAGAAGGGAAAATTCTATTATTTTTCTCTGAAACCTCTGTCAAGAATGATTTCTTCTTTTCCCACTAGCCTACTTGAGTCGAAGAGGATGGGAGAGCAAAAAGAATGGTTCTACCCATTTTTGGCTCTGGCCCTGTCCAGCTATTGACAAATGATCACCTAAGGAAATGCAGCCCTCGACAGAATTTTTTCCCATTCATTATACATCTATAATCTAAAAGATATGCAGTCAAACAGACAGAATCACTGTTACTTTGGTCTCTCTAACCCTCTGGAGACCAGAACACAGAGCAGTATGAAATGCTGTAGCAGGTTAGTTATACTTTCTCCATCCTCCAACAAGACTTGTGGTGATAGTGGGAACAGAATCAGACATATCCTAGGGAAACTGATCAGAAAATTAATAATCTCCTGCATTTTTACTTTTTTGCTGTAGTATATATAGAAAAAAAGTAAATGCTGATTGGATTCATATAATATTCTAAACCATATAGCCACTCCTCATTTAGCAGCTACCTCATTTAGTGACTGTTCACAAATACAATGCTAATAAAATAAAACAATTTTCTGACCAATGCATGCACTTACGACCAAATTTTGTGCACCTGACAACAATGCACACCAGAGAGAGAGCAACTCTGGTGTAGCTGTATGAGACAACTTTATCTAAATGAGACGGCAGCAACCAGCATTTTTTTTCCTCTATCTCTTTATCACGTGTTTGCTTAGCGACCATTTTGCTTCTGATTTAAGGAATGGATTGTGGTCACTAAATGAGGAGTGGGTTATGGTTTTAGTTGTGTGTTCTGTGAATCCAGTCATAATTGGAATAACACACCACTTTCTTGGCTGTAAACAATGTTTCAGCTCAGACAATATGTTTATAAGTCATAGTTTATGGCTAACCATGACATGGTAATCTAGTCATTAAATAATAGAAGAGGTACTAAGTTTAAGTCAAGAAATTATGATAACACTGGTACACAGTCCACATGATTTCTTCATTCACAGTTACAGGACAAACTAGATCTATGACTAGTTTCTAGTATATGATTTATGTAATTTAAGATTAAATGAGTACAAAGGTACCATAGTTCAAAGATACATACTCTGCGTGTGAAAGATCTATACTCAGCCCTTGCCATTGCTAGATACAGTACAAAATACTCTCCTGAAATCGTGTGTGCTGTCTTACAATACAGTCCTAAGTATACTTATGTATGAGTTGATATAAAATTATTTTACTCTATTTCTGCTCTAAATCTTCATACTTACAGAATTTAAGCAAAACAATCACTTTTCTAGACAGTGATCCTATTCACAATTACAGAGAATAAAGTTTTAAATAAATCAGTGGAAAAAATGGCCTTGGTTTAAGGTTTATTTTTATTAACCATTAAAAGATGTGTACACTAAAACAATATGAGATGTCTTGTGCATATGTACTAGATTCACAATTCTAGCTTTTAAGTATCAACTCAGCCTAATAAGTATCTTATTACCCTTGTGTTCAATTGTGTAATACCACATGCATTAGAGGTCTGGTTATGAAATGAATAGTGGTGAAATGAAGTTTTTGAACCCTTTAGAATTATTACAGTCCTGCAGTACTGTGACTCAGATGTGATGACAGCTTCATCTAAGTTTTATCTGCACTGTATCTAAACTTGGGGCACACTTAACAACATTGACTGCCAATGAATTAAAATGTAATCTTATATAACCAAGTAATGTTTAAACACTTTTTCAGGTAAACATTCTTACAATAACTTGGGTAAGCCACAAATTGCATCCCAGTATAGAAGGTCTCTCTCTTTCTCAAGCAAGCTTTTTGTATTTAAAAAAATAACAACTTTAAGCATATTAAAGAGTATTATTCTTTATACAGTACATCACCGTACCTTTTCTAGATTTAATATTAAATACATTTCTAGCATTAGAATTGTTCTATACTTTAGGTCAGTAATTTTACTATTCTATTATTCTAAATAATCATTTAGCTGCCTTATCCAAATTGCAATGATGTCTCACTATATTAATTTTTATGCCCAAAATTCTTAAACTTATAATTTTAAATGTACATGTTTTATAGTTTGTTTTCTTCTACTCAATTTCTGTGGTATGTAGGCTACATCAATATTTGACGAGGTAAATGTTACTGTTTTTTAAACATCTGTTCTGCTGGTCAGTGACTGAAATAAGATGACAGACTTAATGAGAGGGATTAGTTTTACTTATAATTTTCAACTCTTCTCTGGCAATCAGGTACTGTAAAGGGAGGGAAAAACATGGGAAGCATTTCAGAAGGGACTCTCCCTAGTTTCTGGAGAGTAAAAAGAGAGAAGGGGAGAAATACTTTCAGTCTTACAAGATTCTGTTAATGTAACTCTACAAAAAAGTAGGATTAATTTAAATCCCTCTTTTTAATCTCCAGAAACTAGGGAAGGTCCCTTCTGAAATGCTTCCCATGCTTTTTCCATACCTGCGGACTGAGCTGCTTCTTATTAGACCATTGCTAGGCTGCGGGTCTTCCTCCTGTCTCCCAAGGTCTACTACTACTAGAGGTATTTACTATCAGTTTGCAAAACTGGTCCAACATACTATTTTTTTTTGTTAGCAATACAATGGAGTGTAAATTTAGAGCTGAAGTCTTCAAACAAATTGCATACAAGTTTATTCAGAAGTTAGAGGCTTCTGTGTCCAATACGTCTCATTCCTATATGAGTATAAAAATAACTGAACTTTGATAAAACAATATTGTACATATCTGTACTGAAATCCCATTAAACCCAAAGAATTCACAAGTCTGTATAAATTGCAGCCTAAATTTCCAATTCCAAACCAAACTTATAAGATTTCAGAGTGTATAAGACATATTCTTCAATTCAAATATTCAAAGTCTGAAGATTTTAAATCATGAATTTATTTTCCTGGTTGACTGACTTCAAGAAAAATGCATTCAAAAACAAAATTCAGCAATTTTGTTCCAAATCCCCAAGGAGTCATCCTGAGGGGGGTTTACACACATCCTCATCTGTGTGTGAATTTTGGAACTGGTCAACTATGCATCTGAATGGGTTTATAGAGACAAATGAAGAAAAAAAATTCTTCCTCTTCCTTTTTGTTTAAAGATAGGGGGTGGAGAGATATTTCATTTTCAAAAAGCAGTTCTTTCCTGATTTTCTCAAAGGGATTACTCACTCCAGAAACTGTGACAAAGACACCGTATGGTATATCTTAATAAAGCTGGCTGTTATGGATTTCATGAAATAGAGATTGCCCACCTTTGCTCTACATATCTAGTGGTCGGATTTTCAGGCTTTGGGAGATCAATACAGTACCAAGGTCCTTATCAGTTTTTTTTGTAGACGTTTCTCTCAGAGCCCCAGCCTAACAAAAACCCGTTTATTTGTAAAGAAGGCTCAGTAAGGTTCAGACTTACTCCGAAGTAAAGGTACTTAGAATACCAGCAGGTGGGACAATTGCGATCCCATGTTAAGAAGCAACGTCACTGCATGTAATGTTGTCTACTGAGTGGATACCAAACAGGCGTGCAAAAAGGCACGCTTAGTTCTACGCGCACTTACTGTACTCCGGATAGGCAGGCCCGACGCGCTAAGAGGCCTGAACTACTGAACTGTGGACGGCCTCGAATACGTTTAACCCTCCCCGCGCAAATACCTGGCTGTATCTCTGGTAGCCCCCCGAAGGCGGCTGCTTGAAGGACTGCTGCTGATGAAACGCTCCTCCGGGGGACCTGCCGCCACTGTAGGGAGCCGAATACCTGGGGCTGGCACTGTGGGGCCTACGCGGCGTGTGCGCCGCCGCCGGGTCTCCAAACCACCCCCCACCACCCCGGCGCGGCTGGGAGCGGGGGGGGCGCGGGGAATTGGGGTATGGCCGGGAGCGGTATCCGTAAGGCGGAGTGTGGTGGGGG